AAAACCAAACAAAAACCCCACTGCCATTGAGTTGATTCTGACTCACAGCAGCCCCCAGTGGGTTTCTAAGGGGGTAAATCTTCCTTCCATGGAATGACTGGTGAGTTTGAACCATCAGCCTTCTTCTGGTCAGCAGTCAAATGCTGTAGGCACTGTGTCACTAGAGCTTCTTGTATATATACCAGCCCCTGGCAAACCAAGGGGTGAGATGTGGAAGGAATGTCCCTGGAGTCCCCTGGGCCCTTAGGGAGATGAGTGGAAATCTCCCACCCCGATCCTGTCCAGCCCCATACCTACCTGCCTGCTGGTTGGCCCCATTCAGGAATACTGCCAGATGGACCAGAGTGTGATCAAGGTGATGCTGTAGGTCAGCACTGCCAGCAGGTAGATGCGGAAGAGCAGCCTGTCCAGCACAGAGCCCACACGCAGCCAGTCCCGGGCCACCTCCCGGCTCTCATCTCGCTTCTCCAGGAAGTGCCGGATGGTGGACAGCTCCTGTAGCAGCCCGCGCACGGCCAGTGAGGCCTCCCGTGGCGGCGGAGGAGGGCAGCCTCTGTCCCGCGGGGTTTTCTCGAACTCCTGGGGTCCTCCCAAATGGCTACAGTGGTTTCCCACAGCTAGAATAAGAGCAGAGCATTGGCAACAGAGGGAGGCCCCGGGGAAGGCCTGAACATTGTGTTGTTGTTGTTAGCTGTTATCCAGTTGGGCCCTGACTCATGATGACTCCGTGCACAACGAGCAAAACATTGTCCAGTCCTGTGTCATCCCCAGATCCACACTGACTGTTGTGATCCATAGGGTTTTCATTAGTTGATTTTCAGAAGTAGATTGCCAGGCCTTTCTTCCTAGTCTGTCTCAGTCTGGAAGCTCTGCTGAAACCTGTTCAGCATCACAGGCCTCCACTGACAGATGGTGGTGGCTGTGCATGAGGTGCATTGTCTGGGAATCGAACCTGGGTCTCCCACATGGAAGGTGAGAATTCTACCACTGAACCATCAACGCCCTTGATGTCCCTAAAGTCCTACAGAACTTTTTATTATGAAAAATTGCTGATACAAAAAGTATAAAGAATAACATTATATTCTTGTGTACCCATCATTCCAACTTAAACAAGTAAAGCTAATGCCAATTTTTCAATTGTATACCTGTATACCCCTCTTAGTGACATCCTTTCTCCCCTCCCCAGGTCATAGATACTATGAATTTGGTGTTTATCTTTTCTATGCTTTTAATAATAATAATAAAATAACCTATTGACTCTCCCCAGAAATTTTATATTCTTCATTTTATTTTAGCTTCACAAGAGCACCATAAGAGAGGCATGGCTGGGGTGATTACTATACCCACTTTTTATACGAAGGCACTGAAGAAAGGTTAAGTGATTAGCCTCTGGTCACACAGCTGGAGTATCATTTACTGATGAAGCCTCCAAGGCCCAGGTATCTGAACTCCCAGTCCAGTGCTCTCTCTGCTACATCATATTATCTCAGGAGGCTGGCCAGTGGCCACTGCCCTTCTCACCATGACTCCATGGACCAGAAAACTCACCACCTTCAGATATGACTACCTTCACCAGGTGAACAGTGAAATTAGGCATTAGGATGTAGACTGGCTCACCTTGCTAACTAGCCCATGATAAGAGGGTCTTAGGTGAACCAGGAGTCTTGTGTAATAGGCCCGCCCTGGCCAGGAAGAAGGATGCAAAGTGGTGAAAAACCAAACCCACTGCCATTGAGTCAATTCTGACTCATAGTGACTCTACAGGACAGAGTACAACTGCCCCCATAGGGTTTCCAAGGCTGTAAATCTTTACAGAAGCAGACTGACTCATCTTTCCTCTGTGGTGCTGCTGCTGGGTTTGAACTGCCAGCCTTTTGATTAGCAGCCAAATGCATTAACCAAGTGGTGAAAGGTAGTGTTTAAAAGCACTAGCTTAATCATGTGCTCTGTGACTTCAGGTAAATTGAAGTTTAACCTCTCTATGTCTCTGTTCCCTCATTTGAAAAATAAGAATGAGAATCCTATTGGGCGGCCACTAGGATTGCATGTACTTTGTGCTTTGTGCACACCTGTCTCAAAGTGCTCAACAAACAAGCCAATTGACCAACCACCACCAATAACAGAAAATAGTAGCTGTGATAATTCCTCTGGAGGCTAGAGACCCAGATGTAGTGTCTCTCTGCACCTCTATCTTCTTGCCTCCTAGGTGTCTGGAATTCTTTGAGGCCTGGTCTCTGACCATTTAGAGTGAGAATTTTAGAAATCTTGCCTGCAATAACTATGTAGGACAAGGAGACCAATCACTGCCTGAGGGAATCTATTTCACCTCATTTAAGGTTATGGGGTGGTACAAGTAGTTTATGGTGGGTTGCTAACCTAAAGGTTGGTGGTTTCAAGCTCCCAGTGGCTCCATGGGAGAAAAGCCTTGCAATCTGTTTGCATAAAGATTACAGCCAAGAAAACCTTGGGGAGCAGTTCTACACATGAGGTCAGCGTGAGTCTGAGTTGACTTTATGGCAACAACTTTGGTTTTGGGTTTGTGGTCCCATCTCAGAGAGAAGTCATTCTCAGCCCAGAAGGTCTCAGCTCCTGGGACTTCTACTCTGTCTTTTCCACACCTGGGCTGATGAGAGGATGTGAAGGTGAAAAGAGAGTCCAGATCAGCCCCTCCCAAGGAGGCTGGGTGTGGCAGTGCCTTGTGTAGGACAGCGCCCAATTCCTAGGCCCTGCCCAGGCTCTTTGGCAAGTCATCCCTCCTCCAGAGACTCCATCAAGCCCCGACTCCAGGACAGAGGTGGTCCCTCCATCTCTTCCCTCCCTCTCTCACCTGAGCAGTCATCAGTCTTGGTGGCTTGGGAACCGGCTGGGAGCCTAGGGGAATTTGACTGCTCCCCCAGGCAAAGCAGCACAGCGATTCTCTCAAGAACCAGGCGCCGCAGCCAAGTGGGCAGGGGCTGCTGCAAGTCTTGCTTGTGCACCAGCCGCACGATGAGGATGGTCTCAGCCAAGCTTATCACCAGCAGAGCCATGCACACGACAAAGTAGACACCTGTGCACACCAAGAAGAGATACACACCAAGGAGGTGGGAGGGGGTGGCTCTTCCACCACACAGCTCTGCCCCAGGGAGCAGGTCTTACCAATGAGGGGCGTGCCGATGGCAGTAGCAGGTAATGTGTCAGATACGATGATCAGAAAGACAGAGTAGCCCAGAAGGAGTGTGATTTTGAAGGAGACCCTCTCGCCACTGTCTGGGGGCAGATAAAAGCCCACGATGTCCATGACCATGAGGAAGATGCTGGGCAGAAGAAGGCTGACTGCATAGAACAGGGGCCGCCGACGGATGACCACCTAGGACCAGGAGAGGAGATAGGCTCTGCATTGAAGAACCACCCGCAATCTTAGAACCCCTGCTTCCTGGAGCTGTCAGCCTGGATTCCTTAGAGAAGGAGTGGACAGGCCCCCTTTTCTGTCTCTGGATTCAGGCTTGTGGGCTATTTGAAAGTTTTGAAGTGGTTCAGGGTAAGTAAGGGACAATTTGACTGAGATTCCCTATTCAATTTGTTGAAGATTCAGCAGAATTTGCACAACCCTGGAGTTGGAAAAAGGTTAAGGAAATTATGGCTAGGTGGGGCCCCAGTGGCATGGTGGGTAAGCACTCGGTTGCTAGCCTAAAAGTCAGCAGTTTGAACCTATCAGCTGCTCCATGGGAGGAAGATGAGGCAGTCTGCTTGTGTAAAGATTACAGCCTTGGAAACCCTACAGGGGACTTCTACTCTGTCCTATAGAGTCACTATGAGTTGGAATCAACTCTGTGCAGTGGGTTAGGTTTGGGTTTTTCTTTTAAGTTCACCTGGGTGTAAAATTCTGGTAGTTTTATTTATCCTTTTACCCACATCCACTTCCCGTCCCACTCACATAGAACTTCATTTCCGCGTAACACTCGCTGCCTTCGATACTGAACTCGTGAAACTGGGTCAGCACCCCCAGAAGCTCCCACTCGCCCTGGTTCATGAAGACACTCTTGTCATACTTCACTTTTTCTGGCTTGCGCCACAGGGAGATGTTGATGTCCTGGACTGAGAGAGAAGAAGTCAAACCAGTTTTGGGATCAAGTACTGGGAGCTAGCCTTTGAGATGGTGGAGCGGGGGTAGAGCGAGGTAGGGAGGCCACAATCAAGGGCACTGATGGCAGGTGATTTGAGTCTCAGCTCTTAATCTTTAGCCTCAGTTCCATCAGCTACAAAATGAGGCAATATTACACCTCATACCCATCTCATGGGGCTGTAGTGAGGGCAGATGAAGTCTCAAGTGAAAACAACCAACAAAATACAAAGGACCCCACAGACTAGTGATTAGAAAGTCTTCTCTCTCTTGTTTCTTTCTCTCTGTCATTCTCTCTCTAAATATATTTCTCTCCCTCTCTGTCTCTCTCTCTCACACACACACACTCTCACACACACACACATGCACTCATGTGCACACACACACGTCCCTTCCAAATGACTTGCTAGGTTTCTCTGTTAGAATTACCCATTTAGGAAATGAACATGAGCCAACATACTTCACTTTCGCCTTAGTAGAACTGCCTGTCTTTAAAGGTGAATTAGAAAAATAAGCAAAATCCTCACTTATGGAATAGCAGTTCTGCTTCTCTGAATTTATTCTAGAGAAACAGATATACAGACACACCAGAAAGGATAGGAGTATCTGTTACTGAAAGACACTGGAAAACATTTAAATGTCTACCAGGAAAATGCTTAGCAGACTATTGAGAGACACTGTACAGCAGTTAAAATTTATGAGGAGGATCTAAGGTGAAAACATATCCAAGATCTCTTGTTGAATAAAAACCAAGTTGTAGATGTACATGCTTATGTAAAATAAAAACCCATAAAACAATGTCCATGTGATTTCCATGAATGTGTATGTATGTATATGTGTGTGCGTGTTTGCACATACAAATGCACATGTGAATATGCATGCATAGAGAAGATCTGGAAGAATACACTATATGAAGTTTATACAGAGAAAAGTGGTTAACTCCTGGTGTAGGCAGTTGTTGGTGAAGAGTTTGGGGTTGAGGCTAGGTCAAAGGGGACTTCAGCCTTATCAGTAATTATGGTTTTTGTTCAAAACTGTTATGCATTATCTTGTAATTTAAAGTTAAAATCAGAAGAGGTAACTATGGTTAGGAAGTGGGAGGGGAGCTGCATTGGGGTAAATTGTAGTCAATGTCATGAGACAAAGTGTATGTGAACTGCTGTATGGAAAATGAATTTGCTCTGTAAACTTCCACCCAAATCACAATAAAAAAATTAAAAATAAATAAATAAAGTCAGAATAGAGGATGCCTTTCCACAGTAGGCAATGTTCACATCACTGGACCAGTAGTGAACCCCTACCATTCATTCCCTCAATCGGAATTTGTCCAGTACTTCCTTCTGTGCCAGACACGGTGCTAGGGATCCATTGGTAAGCAAGAAAGTTATGTCCTTGCCCTCTCTAAGTTTATATATAGTAGAGAAGTAGACATTGAGCAAGTATTTACAACCTTGATAGAGGTGGAAAGGACAGTTAGCTAGAAGACCTGGCAGCAGCGGTGGCCTTGTCTGGGGAATGGGAGATGGTTTCCCTGGGCCTTTGTTCCTCCTGCTGTGATCAGAGGGGTGAATAGAGGACTTGGCCAGGCTAGCTGCGACCTGGGTGAGAGGAGGGATGAAGGAGAAAAGGAGAGGGCTAGGTAGCCTAGCAGAGGAAGGAGCATGTGAGAAAAGGGAAAGAGCCAAGAGTTTCCGGGCCTGGAAAGGCCAGCAGTTTGGAGCAGAGCTGCAGGGAGTGTGCACAGATGAAGCTGGGGTGGTGGGTGGCAAGCAGGGCTAGGCTTTGCAGGGCCCTACTGACCAGATCATGGATTTGGATTGTGTCCCAGGAGTGCTGGGAAGCCATCAAGGGTTTAACAGAGAGTGATCTGATCAGATTTGCATTTTAATAAGATCTCTCTGGCTGCTGTGAGGGGGACAAGAATGAATAAGGGAGAGAGACCAGTTTAGAGGCTATTGCAGAAACCTACACAAGAGACCAGGGTGGCTTGAATTAGGGGGGCAGCAGGGAAAATGAAGAGAAGTGGGTGGATTTGAGAGACTGTTAGTACCAGCCCCTGTTTGTGATAGAGGAAACAGACTGTCCCTCACATTGTCTCGTTAAATCCTTATAACGTGAGAGAGGCAGGAAAGGCAGCAATGCCAGCTCCGTTTGGAAGGATAAGGAAACAGAGGCTCACTGACATTAAGAAAACAAGTGGTAAGTAAGTTGGCCAGCCACCGCTTGTCTGGCAGTTTGTTGTACTGTGGTGGCTTGCATGTTGCTGTGCTGTTGGAAGGTATGCCACCAGAATTTCAAATACCAGCTAAACAGGTTTCAGTAGTTACCAGATGAAGACAGATGAGGAAGAAAGGCTAAAGACCCTATGGCTCATAACGGAACATTGCCTGACATAGTGCTGGAGGATGTGCCGCCTACATTGGAAGATATTACACAAAAGCCAAAACAATGGACTCAAACACACCAACAATAATGACAATGGTGCAGGACCTGGCAATGTTTTGCTTGGTGTACCCATGGTCGCCATGAGCTGGAGACATCTAGGTACTGACTAACAACAGCAATCAGATAAGGGAGAAGGCATCCTAGGTGTGTTCTCACCCAGGTGTCCCTGGGCCCCCCAACCTGCACTCACATCCCCCAAAACCCACATACTCACTCGTGTGCAGCCAGCTGGTGAAGGTCAGTGAGCAGTTCTGGACGTCGAAGGGGAAGTTATAGATGTCAAGGCTGCAGGCGGTTACCACCTGGAGGGGCTTGTAGTTCTGGACGTTGCCATCTTGCTGAACATACACATATGGGATATTTGGAGACTTCCCCACGTCCACACTGGCCAGGGAAGAGAGGTCAGTTTGGGGGCTCTGGGAGCAGCCCCTAGACCTAACCCTGGGAGTCTGAAGGTCTACTGAGAAGCCCAGTAGAAAAAGAAATGCAGAGAGGGTGTAGAAGGCAGGACAACCTGAACGGGTCTGTCTGGCCCCAGTGTTTCCAACCTTATTATCTACCTTTGACCTCTTGCCATTGTCAAGGCTGCTTTCCAAGCAATAAAAGGTGTTTCTCCTTCTTTATTCCCCTGGCATCCCAGCTACAAAAAGCAGGGAAGGAATCTATAGGCCCAAATCCACAGGCTGTAGAGCATATGCCCAGCTGCCCCCACACTATTGCCCACTTGTGCTGGGCCACCCAGCTCCCAGGATCACCAGCCCTGGGAACAGGGACAGGCTGGTGAGAGAGCAGAACCCTTGAGATCCATCTCAATTCTGGCTTCTTTTGGCTTCCCATTCCTAGAAGTCTTGTGAAATGAGAAAAATCATCTCTGGAGGAAAAGGAACTAAAGAAATCATTGATAAGAATTGGGGGAGGCCAGAAAAGTCCCACAAGACCTCATTCCACTCTCTTGGCTGACCCCTGACTCCAACACCCTCCCAATGACCACTGTGGCATGGAGTGGGCTAGGCCTAGGGTCGTGAGACTGCTGTCTCCTGTGGAATCAGGCTCAAGGTTGAGAAATCAAAGCTAAGGCTATTCACAGTTTAAGCTGGAGATCCAGACAGAAAGTGGGATTTCCTAGAACCCCTCCAGCCTGAGTTATGCAGAGTACAATGTGAGTGATGCCCCCTAGAGCTGGGGAGTAGAGTGAGCACTAAGTGAAGGGAGATTGGCCTCTGCTGTCTTATCATTTCCACCTTCCTTGCCTTTAAATTCAGAAGCTCAGGCAGTGGAAGGAAACTGAAAGAGAAAGTATGTTGGCTGGGGCCCAGTGAGACAGCAGTTGGCTGCTGGGAATAAAATCATGTTGGGAACACAAGTTGTGGCCAGTCAAGCACATATAACTTGAGAGGGTTGAGCTCCAAATCTCCCACTGAAGTGGTGATCACCAAAAGTGCCCCATTTCTTTCAGTAATATCACTGTCCCTTTAAAACATGCAGCTGCCCCTCATTAGCTTATTATAGTTCAGTGTGAATTCACTCACTGTCTTGCTTTTCCCCATTACAGGGGCCTTTGGACCAAGAGCTCAGTGTTTCAACATTAGACATAGAAGATGGGGAGTTTAAAAAAGAAGAGAAAGGTGGAAAAATAACAAAGGGGAATTTGGGCCAACTTTACCTACAGTTCTGCAAATTTAGGTGGAATATCTCAATGTAACAGCAGTGATCTTATTTCCCACCTCCTACTCCCAACCCCCTTGCCTTCTCCATCCCTTAGTCCACCCAGTCACCCAGCACTGGATGAGAATACTCACAACTCATTGATGAGAATGTCCGGGACCCAGATGCTGTCAGTGGGGATGGACAACTTAGTGATGTTGTCAAAGTCCTCAGGGTTCCACTGGAGAAATTCATCAGTCCAGCACTAGGGGAGGAGTGGACATTGTCACAGGCAGCCCCAATATCCTAGGTGAGGTGATGTTTAACTCAGGTCAACTTCACCTCTCAGTGTCCATGCAACAGCTGGCACCCTGGGATAATCTGAGTGGCACCCAAATCACTTAGCAGTAACATAGAGTCCCCATTTCAGTATTTACATGCTCCTTGACATGCACATAGGACATGGGAAGATGTAGCCTCTCCCAGGGAAGAAAGGCATTTCATCATTCCTAATGCTACGACTCCTTGTCCAGCGAGTGATTCTAAGCAAATAACTTCCTGGGTCTTGGTGTGCATATATATGAATGAGGATAATAACACCCACTTCTCAGGGTAAATTCAGCCAGTGGCATGGCAGAAGAAAAGCCTGGAGATCTGCTTCCATAAAGATTAAAGCCAAGAAGATTGTATGGAGCTCAGTCCTACTCTGCAACACTTGGGGTCACCATGAGCAGGAATCAGCTCAACAGCCATGAGTTTTTGGTTTTCACAAGATAGAGATGGTTATTATGCAGTTTTGGTCAATGTATTCTCTACTCTCCTGACAGAATGGCCAGTCCAAATTGTAAATTTGATCTTGTCACTCCTTGCTTAAAATTCTTCTGTGGTACCCCATTGTCCTTGTTGTTGTTAAAACCCATTGCCATAGATTTTATTCCAATTCTTAGTGATGCGATAGGGCAACCTAGAACTGCCCATAGGATATCCAAGCCTGTAATCTTTACAGAAGCAGACAGCCACATCTTTCTTCTGTGGAATAGCCAATGAATTTGAGCTACCAAATTTTTGGTGAGCAGCTGAGCACTTAAACACTGAGCCCATTAAGTCAGCTCTGACTCATGGTGACCTTGTGTGTAACAGAACAAAATGTTGTCTGCTCCTGTGCCCTCTCCATGACTGTTGCTTTGTTTGAGACCATTCTTGTAGGTATTGTGTCAATCTTTCTTCTTGAGGGTTTCACTTGCTTTCATTGGCTCTCTACTTTATCAGATATGCCTGTCACTTTGTCGTACGATGGTGGATTGTGTATTCCATAATGTGGGAAGCCATGCCACAGTATTTCAAATACTTAGCACAATCACCTATGGTAGACAAGTTTCAGCAGAGCCTGCAGACTAGGAATAAGAAGAGAGTTCTGGCAATCTACTTCTGAAAATTAGCCTGGAAACCCTATGGATCACAGGCATTGTCCTTAGGATAAAGTTAAACCCCATGACCACAAAGACCTATGTAATCTGGCTTCTACCTATCTCTCTAGCCCCCCCCCCTTTTTTTTTACCACGTTTTGCTATGAATTCTATACTCTAGCCATATGGAATTAAACCATATTGAAATCTCCACATCTTTGCCTATAGTTCTTCCTTCCCCATGCTGCAATCCCTGTCTTCACCAGTTTCAGTCATCTGTACAGACTTAGCCAAGGCATCTGTCTGTCCTGTCGTCTAGTACCAGAACCCCCACTCCCAGGCTGGATTAGCTGTGCCCCCTCTGTGTTCTATAGTTAGTCTCTTATGCTTTGCCCCACTGGACATGCTGTCTTATTGCATTTTAATTGTTTGTTTACATGTCTCTTGCCTACACTAGTCTGTGTGCTCATTGTGGGCAGGACTGGAGTTCAATTTGGGTCTCTGATTCTAGGCCCTTATTACAGTCACTAGTGCATAGGAAGGAAGGTTAGGCAATCCTACTTCCGTAGTGATACTGCCTCGGAAACCCAAGGAGGGGTCGCTATGAGTCGGGGCCGACTCGATGGCAAACAACAACAACAACAACAAGTGCATAGTTAATGGACATCCTTTCCCTGCTGAATGTAAATTCCTTCTCTTTGGCCACTTCACTTCCTCTTTTGCTCTAACTTCTTCCCCACAATCCCAGGGCTGCCAGAGCAGGACCCAGCCTCTGGACAGCAGCCTCCACTGTTTGTCCATCTCCATTGCCCATCCTTTGAACTTGAAACCAGAGACATCCACAAACCACTGCTTGACCTAGGCCCAGCAGAGGCTGAATGAATGGGGAAATGGCCAAGGATGTGAGGACTAAATGGATGGAAATTTGGTTGTCATCCAATTTGGCTTAATAGAAGGAAGAACTTTCTAGCAATTAGAGCTGCTTGAAAGTGAAGTGGCTGCCTTGTGAGTTCTAAGTCAGTGGAAGTGTTCAAGAAAAGTTGGACAAGCACTTGTTTGGGATGCTGTGAAGAAATTCAGAAACCAGAAGGGAGTTTAGGGGATTTTTCCTCGAATGAACTTAAAACTTCCTTCAACTCCCAGACCTGAGAGGACAGGATTCTAGACTCCTGGATCTAGCACTGAGCATGACTCTGAACCACTTCCTTCACCAAGACCCCTGAGATTCCTAACTCCCTGAAGATGGAGGAATCATTCCTAGGAAAAATAAGCCCCCATTCTAGGTCATGGGGGTGGGTGAGAGGCTCATCTGCTCACCTGCCGGTACCAGATGTAAGTGGTCAACACCTGATTTTTCTCATCCTGTGAAAGGAAAGAGAGATTGACTCAGATGGCCATGTGGGCAGGAAGTCTATCTCACAGACAACCACACCCACAGAGGAACTGCTTCTTTGTGTCCTTGCTCCCTTGGGAAGTGAAAGTAAGGAAAAGGAGCTCGGCAAGTGGATAAACTAGAATTCCTTGGCCAGCCAGGGAAAATTGGTCTTTTATCATGGCACACCTACAAGGAAATACAATGATTTATTTTTTAACTTCTAATATATACGTTGGGAGCTCTGGTAGTGTAGTGCCTAAGGCAATTCACTGCTAACCAGAAGGCTGGTGGTTCAAATCCACCAGCTACTCCCCAGAAGGAAGGTTGGACAATCTACTTCTGTAGTGATACCACCTTGGAAACCCAAGGAGGGGTCGCTGTGAGTCGGGTCCGACTCGACGGCACATAACAGCAACAACAATATATACATACACATACATATACACACCCATGTATATATAATAGATACATAAAATAATGGGAGCTCTGGTGGCATAATGCCTAAGGAGCTCTGGTAGCATAGTGGCTAAGACACTTGCCTGCTAACCAGACGGCTGGCGGTTCAAACCCACCAGCCACTCCTCGGAAGGAAGGTTGGGCAATCCTACTTCCGTAGTGATACTGCCTCGGAAACCCAAGGAGGGGTCGCTATGAGTCGGGGCCGACTCGACGGCACATAACAACAACAACAACAACTGGTGGCATAATGCCTAAGGCCTTTGACTGCTCCAAAAAAGCAGACAGTGAAAACCCGATGGCTCACAAGAGTCTGACCCACAACTGATCGAGACAGCATTTTTGTTCCATTGTTCATGGTGTCACCATTAAGTTGAAGGGCTGATTGAGTGGCAGTTAACAACAACAACAAAAACAAAAACTATGTGTTATATATATTATCCCTATTATTTTATAAGGAGCTCTGGTAGCGTAGTGCCTAAGGCACTTGACTGCTAACCAGAAGGCTGGCGGTTCAAATTCATCAGCCACTCCTCGGAAGGAATATGGGGCAATCTACTTCCCTAGTGGTACTGCCTCAGAAACTCAAGGAGGGGTCGCTATGAGTCGGGTCCAACTCAACAGCATATAACAACAACAACAACAATTATTTTATATATACATGTAATAGATATCTATCTATCTATATAATATACATGTATTATCTATCTATCTATTATATATACATGTAATAGATATATAAAATAACAGGAAATAATATATATGACACATAATTTTTGTTGTTGTTGTTGGCTGCCATTGCATCAGCCCTTCAACTTAATGGTGATACCATGAACAATGGAATAAAATGCTGCCTCGATCAGTTGTGGGTCAGACCCTTGTGAGTCACTGGGTTTTCACTGGCTGATTTTTGGAAGCAGATCACTAGGCCTTTCTTCCTAGTCTGTCCTGGTCTGGAAGCCCCACTGAGACCTGCTCAGCATCAGAGCAACAGTGAAGCCTCCACTGACAGACAAGTGGTGGCTGCCCGAGAGGTGCATTGGCTGGAATTATAATGGGAGATAATAATAAAGATTCATACATATACATATACGTACACATATCCTGCTATGAAATCAAGAGGTATAAAGAAATATAGAATGAAAAGTTCATCACTCTTCCCTTCTCACACAATTCCCAGTTTCCTTTCCCAAAAAAACCACAGTAACCAGTTTACTGTGATTCTTTCCAAAGATGTTCTAAAATGCACTGATTTCAGAGTACATCCAAGGGGGGTAAGCTCACTGTAGTAGAAACAGTGAAGTCAGTTCCACCCACTCAACCCCAGCACAGTGCCACTGCTTCTCTGCCTCTCTGCCATTGGCTTCTTCATCTTTGCCCAATGGCCCAATGTCCTACCTTCTCTACTGGGCATTGTACTCTTCCCTGGGCAGTACTGTACCCTATCATATCAATGGATTGATTGATTGCTTAGTTAATTCTTCAACAACCATGTAGTGACACCCGTTATGTACCGGCACCCATGTAAGAGGCCAAGCACACAGGGAGGGATGAACAGAACATAGTCTTAACCCTTTTACCGTTTTCATATAGAGATAATAAAATAATGTATAAAAAATCAAACATAGTCAGAGTTCATTTATAAAGTAACCCATTGAAGCAGGAACTTAACTCCATGGAGGTGAAAGGCCATGTTCCCAGCCTTCTGTCCTCTCCCACGGTACCTAAGAAATGCTAATAATAGTGTAAGACACTGGGGTAAATAGACCACAGTGGAGGAGGGCAGGCCCAGCTCTTGGCCCATCCATAATCCCTTGTAGAACACACTTAGGAAGCTCTGCCTTAGCAAATGGTGAGGGCTGTGGCAATAAGCTATATATCCTAATAACAGAGGTGAAATCCTTGTTCAATTATCTGTTTCATTTGAGGTTGCCCACCATTTAAGAATAAAAAATTTCATCATTTAAAAATAAAATTAAAAAAAAAAGGAGTCCATTAGTTGTAGGAGTGTAAGAGGGAGCCACAAGAGGATGCCCAAGTCTTCTGGTTTGGGCAACATACACATGGGCTCCAGTCCCTCCCCAGCTGCAATAATAGACCACAGATCACAGGCACCAAGGGTGCTTGAGTGCCCTCAGTTCTCCCTAAGGATGACTTAGTCTCACATGGACTTCTCTCCATCTCCAAAGGGTACACCTCAGAGTGGGGGGTGGGGGCAGGCAGGTTGGGGCTGAGTGCTCACCACATTGAGGATGGCGTAGACAATGACATCAATGAACACAGTGGTTGGCTTCCTCCAGTCCCTCACGGGCCTCACGCCCTTTGTGTAGTTGGCCAGCAAGCAATCAGAGAGCCTCAGCAGGGCAGGTTTGGTGATGTTTTGAGCCTGGGAGCACCCCCTCTGCCTGGCTGTGAAGGAGAGCAGTGCAGAGTGGGTCCAGTTCTCTTGCTCTGGTTTGAAAACTATTAAAAGGTCTACGTCCTCACCACTCCCACCTCACAAAATTCCCAGACACCCCACCCTCACAGACTGAATCCCCATTGCTAAACCATTTTGTTTGCAAAGATCCCTGCCAAAACTCAAATGTGTGGTCTCAGAGGGATGACCTATACACTCATCTACATGAGAGCATGGAGCTGGGTTGTAGGAGAAGGCGACACAGACAGGTAAGGTTTGGAGTAGGCTAAAGAGTGAGAAAGATTGAGAGTAGGGGGCTTGTTTAGAGGAGTTAGGCTTGGAGGGCTCTGGACTAAGGGCTCTGGAGAGCGAAAGGGAAACCAGTCAGTGACGTGTGGTAAGGAAAAGTGAGGTGGGTTCAAGAAAACATGGGCTCAAGTGCACAATTTCTAAGCCAAATTGTCTGCCTCAAACTTTTGCCTCAGGATTTTGCCTCAGTCAAAGTCAGATCTCAACATTCAGGACAGCTTGTTGTCTACTTGCTCCCAACTTGCAGTTGATCAAGAGAGAAGGAAGGGTGGGTGGCCAGCAAAAACTGGTATCTCCTCCCCCTCCTTCAAAGTCCACCCCAAAGGATGCCTCTCGTCCCCCACTCACACACAAATGACTATGAGATGGTTTTCCAGGTCTCCTTCATAGGGTTTCTATCTTGGCAAACTTGAGGTTAGGAAGAAGGTTTGGGAAGGGGAAGGGAAGGAGAAGAAGCCACATTTCCTTGTTCCCGGGGCAGGAGGACTACAGGAACAAATAGTGACATGAAGGCCCAATTCTTAGGACCTAGTCTCACTCTGTACTGACCTAGGTGTACCCCATTTTTCCTCTGGGAAGAGTGCCATGAAACATGAAGATGCAAATGTATGGGGTATGAAGGGAGCACCCTAGAGGACCAGGGTACAGACCAAAAGGGGGTGATCAAGATCTGAATTTCTCTAAATAAAATTCTATCTTTTCTCATCTTGCCTGCAACATGTACAATGTGTACAGCACATTGGTCCTAAAGATTCATCCCTGCCAGTCTCTAACCCACCTGTGTCTGCTAAGCTTTCAGCTTCCTTCAGAAAGACAGAAAAGCAGAGAAGAAAGAAAACAGAGTGAGTACCTACTTGGAAAATGTAAGTTAACTTATTCATTTTAAATTTAGGACAGCCTACCATCACCCTGGTGGTTATCATGTTGGTCCATTTTACAATTGAGGATCCCCAAGACTCAGAGGTGAGTACCAGGCCCACTTCATTCATCCAGCAAGTGGAGGAGCTGAATTCAAATGTGATCCCTGTGTCTCTTCACAGGCGACAGCCCAGATCCTATTGGCTGGGACTTTGGCCAGCTCAGAGAGAACCAGATGGAGCCCAAGAGACCTCCAAGCAAAGGGCCATTGCTGGAAGGAACAGAGCTTCTCTCCAGCCAAGGAAGCCCTAGGCCACAGTCATCACTTGAAGCCTGTGCTCACTTGGTCCACTGATCTTCCCCCAAACAACAGCTCACAGGACAGAAAGTCCTTGTGCCCACAAGCCCTGCATATCTGCCCTTTCTAATCATGCCCTTAGCTCCAGCTCCAAACCAGCTCTGTATGGGAAAAACCTTTCAAGATGGCATGAATATGTTCTGCAGCAAAAGGATCCTTATGTGACTAAAACTTTCCATATTCAGAGAAGGGAGGAATGCGTGGGGATGGGGAATACAGAGAGAAGTTTGGTGTTATAGGTGTATAGCCCAGAAGGGAATTTTAGGAAACAAAGGCCCAGAGAACCTGTGTGACAGTGTCAGTGGAGCTCAGGAAAGATCACTAGATTGAGTTCCAACTCCACTCTGCTGCTGACAAGCTGTGTGACCTTGAGTGAATTACTTCCCTCTCTGGACCTGATGTTCCCATTTATAACAGGAAAGGTGGACTGAATGAGTGCAAAGGTTCCTTGCAGCTACCATTTGATGAGTTTAGGGGCAGGGTTAAGAGGAGAGGAGCCCCTCTTCAGGCACCTGTCCAGCACCTCTCAGATACACTAGGAGGCTGAGTAACAAGCCCTGCTCTCACTTGGTGGTCAAGCTTCTCCATCTTTCTAGCTTGACCATGATGCTTCAAAATGCTCTGTGCCTATATGTGGTAATATACTCAGCCTCCCTACAGCCGTGCCCATTCCAAAACACTTTTCCTTTAACCACCCTCGGAAACAAGCACCCCCACCCCACTTCTGTGGATGGCCAGCCAAGTATTGCATATTATCCCCTTACCTTGTTCTTGTGCCAGGAGTGTGGGCAGAAACAGGACGAGCAGTGCCTGCCGGATGAGTAGCAGCATGGTGAGCTGTGGGTGGCCCCCGAAGCGGCCCTTCAGGGTGAGTGCTGCTCAGGGCCAGCCTGCCTACACACCTCCAACCTGATGCCCCAGCCAACGGTGCCTCTCCTGGCCGTTCCGCCGCACCTTCTGAGGATACAGCCTCTCACAGCACAAGCCCCCAGGGTTGGGAAGCAGCCAAGTTTCCCTGCAATCAGTCCTTCAGCGGGATCAGGTTTCAGGGAGGGAGGGGAGGGGAGGGAATCACTGAGAGGGGAATTGATGTCACTGGGCGGGAGCTTAGGCCACACCATTCAGTAAGGTGACCTGGTCAACATTCCTCAAGACCCCTTGGGGACAATAGGGGATGGGGGGGGAGGGCGCTGCAGGGACCTGTGGGACAAGGGTGCAGGCTATCCTCTGGGATGTGCTGCAGGCTCCTACCGTCTTCATTTACCACCCATGATGAGTGTGTTTCATTGGCCTGGGGCAGGTGGACAGAGTTAGGTAGGGGCAGAAGAGCAATTTTTTGCCACCCAGGGTGTTAGTTCCCTTAGGCACTTCTGTAGAAGAGGATCTGGGGTTGCTACACATCTGCCCTTTTGTCTTCCTTTTAAACATTTATAGTTTAATGTTTACATTTAAATATTTAGTCTTTTAAATATTCAATACTTATAATTTAATATTTAAATATATAGCAAAATGTACGGATATGTATAGTAAAAAGGCACTCTAATGATGCAGTGGTTAATGCACTTCGCTGCTATCTGAAAGGTCAATGGTTCAAACACACCAGCCGCCCTGCAGAGGAAAGATGGGGCAGTCTGCTTGTGTAAAGATTTACAGCCTTGGAAACCCAATGGGTGTCTCTATGAGTCTGAATTGACTCTATGACTGTGAGTTTTGGTTTGGTGTAGTAAAAACAAAAGAGTAATATATGCTCATGGTGGAAAGAATATTAAGAAAAGTTAGTCATCCATAGATGTAGTGCCCAGAGACAGCTACTGTTAATACTTTAATACTTGGTGTATTTGTCTATGACTTATTCCTACAATATGTATATAATGAAGTACATATATTATACATATAATTTAGCATTCCACTCTTTTTTTTTTTTTTTTTTATAGAGCAGATTTTATTTTACATTCAACATTATGTGTGCATTTAGTTTCACTCCCCATTTACCATCCCCAACCCTAACCCGGTCTCCTCCCCTCCCTGCCCAGTAACTCCCCCCTCCCCCATAGTTATGCATTCCTGTGTGTCTTGCATTTTCTCCTGCAAATGTTGCCCCTCTGGTGCCCCAGGGTCAATGGCTCCAAATGATGCATTTCTATAGAGTATGTAGGTGTGCCACCCTGGGTTGAGTGGTCTGCACATACATCTTATTTACTATTGGACTGAGAGCCAGCCCCTGGGAGTGAGTTTTATTCCAGGCCCAGGATGTATTCCAGGGCCATAGTACTGGGAGGTCTCACCAGACTCCATCTAACCAGTAATTCTGGTCATTATTGAGTTTTTGGATTTTGTTCCACATTTTTCCCCCCACTCTATCCAGGATGTCCAGATTTGATCCTTTCCTTAGTGGTTGACATTGGTAGCCAGACACCATCCTGTTCTTCTGGTCTTCTGGTTTGATCTTTGGGCTGATTGCTTCTAAATGCCCTTGTTTTTTTCCACTCTTCTTTGCTTCCGATGATAAGAGACCATTAGCTGCATCTTAGATGAAAGCTTGTAAGACCCAAGTTGCTACTCACCAACGCAGGATGAGGAACAAGAATTTTATGTATTTTTTGTGCCAATTGAGTCTGGTGTCCCCCAGTACTATGGTCCCGAGTCAGTGGGTCCGCTGGATCTCTCTCCCACAGTGTCTGGCTGTCTGTGAGGGATTACTCTATGTCTGTCTTCTGTTGTTTCTGTAAGGATTGCAGGTATTTTGTATCACTGGTATCTGTGCAAGATTAGCCTCAGCTGAATCTGTCCTTGGCCTAGAGTATACACCTGTTCACTGACCCTCATCTGCACTGAGCTCCTGGACTCCTCTGGGCCCACCCAATTGGGTTAGGGAGGGAAGCAGATGTCCACTCTTTTTTGTGCTTAATATCATTTCAAAAGCATTTTGACACCTTGCATTAAGTGTGTTATTTTTTTCCTAAAGAAGTCTTCCTTTTCTCTTTGTAAGTTAAATAGGCAAATATCTATCCCTCAGATACCCAACTGTGTGCCCCTAAAATTGCTTGAGCAAAGATTTACTATGAGTTGTCACTGGAAAAGATTGTACACTAATTCACCATTTGAGTGAATGTGAACTTTTCTACCTCAAGTGTGCTGAAGGCAAGATGTACCTGTGTCTATCGTGGCAAGCTTCAACAATAAAATAGTTTCATTCTTTTTAATCCCTTTTCCAGTTAAATTTAAGTGTAGGAAGGGTTGGAAGCACTGTAGGAAGGATAAATTTTCTAAATTGTAGTCACGTTAAAAATAAAAAAACAAAAACACCTTGTTCAGGGCTGAGCCTTCCCTGGCTCTGTCTCAAGGCTCTGGAATATTCAATGAAGCTCAGGGACATAGAGCTACCCTTCCCTTACGTGCACTGCGTCACTGCACAGCACAGCATAGAAAAACAAGGAAAAAGCAGCTCCAAGACTTTCTTTTGGAGGGATGGAGATGTGGATGAGTAGAATAGGCAAAAAGAGGGATTTAAAGGCAGCAGAGCATCCCTCCACAGCCTGCAGTTTGACAGCAAGAGAAGGCAAGGAGAACCAGGCTGCCCGCTGGGCCTGTCTCCAGGCTGAGGTCTTGAAGGAGCTTAAGCTCAAGAACACTTGTGGGTGGACTCCTAAATACTTGCCAAGCCTATTGCCTGGTGTGATAAACAAAGCCTTTTAGGCTCCTGCTTCCCTCCATTTATAAAGATTAGCACTTAGAAATATGAAGCAAGTTTCTAGAAGAATTTTTCTTCCTTCTGCAAAACACTGCATAACGTGGATGAACTTGGAGGACATTATGCTGAGTGAAATAAGTCAGTCACAAAAGGACAAATATTGTATTAGTCCGTTATTGTAAAAGTTAAGGAAAGTTATATATATTGGAGGACATTTTCTTTGTTGGTTACCAGGGGTGGGAGGGGAGGGGAGGGAATGCTGTTAGAGAGATAGAAATAAATACTGATTTGGGTGAAGAGAAGGGCAATGTACCAAATGTGAGTGACCAATATGGCAGCATTGAGGATGAGAAAGACATAGAGAGTTACGTGGGCAGTACAGATAACAAATATGAACCCTTTTGCATATACAGTACTGAGTTGTCAGTGAAAGCAAACATGGGTATAGGGATGGATAGATAGGTGAACAAGCTAAACAATTAGGTATGTCTAAATGGAGAGTGTATTCAAGATCATATATAGGGTTGGCAGACAATGGGCCTATAAGTTCATGTGAATGATCAGAATTCCCAGGTGTATAGTAGAGCTGACAAGGGGCAAGGTTATGGTCATTGCTTGGTCACAGCCAGCTACCCAGAGGGACCGAGTAGTTGATCCTGCGGGCTTGGGACCATGGTCGCAGGGGACATCAAGCTCAATTGGCATAACATACTATACAAAACATTGTTCCACCTACTACTTTGGCGAGTAGTGACTGGGACCTTAAAAGCTAGGAAGCTGTCATCTAGATGCAACAACGGGTCTCTCCTTGTCAAGAAGAAAGAAGAAAACCAAAATTAATGGAAACAATCAGTCCTAGTGACTGGTACACCATCCGATCTGCAACCTATACAACTATGAGACCAGAAGAACTAGATGGTGCCCAGCTACCACTGCCATCCACTTGGAAGGGATGTAGGAGATCTTGCATAAAGAGGGAGAACAATGTGGAACAAAACTCAAAATCATTTGGAGGCAAAAAAAAAAAAAAAGAAGGTGGGGACCAGGTTTGCTGGTCCAATAGAGCCTGGTGGAACCACTGAGACTATGGCCCCTAGCTGCCCTTCAGGTCTGGAATTGAACCCACAACTGTGGTTTCCAGCCAAACAAAGTACAGGCATGTGAGTTAAACATTTACCTCAAGTAGACACATGCCCTGGAGAGAACAATCATGGGAGAAGGAAGGGCTGCTTATGCACAGGGAGATAGCTCAGGGTGCAGAAGAGTATGAAGGGATGGACACTGGGAAGAGGTAACTATGGGGAGGAAGTGGGAGGGGAGCTGCTGCATTGTAAATTTTGGGCAATGACATGAGACAAAGTATATGTGAACTGCTGTATGAAAAGTGAATTTACTCTGTAAATCTTCACCCAAATCCTAATAAAAAAAAAAAAAAGAATTTTTCTTCTTGTTTATGTACCTAATGCAATCTGCATATAGCATCATACTGTTCATTATTGAGATCCTTTCAGATGGCCTTTAGCAGTAACACACACAAACACACAAACACACACAACTATAATGGCAACCTACTGGTTTCATCCTTAAAGAACAAACCAACACTTAACTTCTCTCCCCTACACACCCTGATGATTACCTCCAAATGCCCCCATTTTGTAGTCCTCAGGGCTCCTTGTGTGTATGCATGAAGCCCTCCTCTACCTCCTGTTCTGCAACAAGGCCAGTGTGCCCCAGGGCCCATTCCTTCCACAGAGCTCAGCTGTTTAGAGAGTGAGAACCTGGAAGAAAATAAACACATCAGGCATTGAACTTGTTCTGACAGAGGTAAAAAGAGAGCAAGAGGAAAAAGGGCAAGAAAAGAGAAAGTAAAAGCAATATAAAAGGATAGACTCTAACTGATTTTGACCCCAATCTACCTGGTACAAAACAGTATTGTGTTGTATGATTACTATGAGAACTGTGAATATGTGTAACGATTTTTAGTATTAGCCCCCTCCTCCCAAAAAAACCAAACACGCTGCCATAGAATCAATTCTGACTCATAGCAGCCCCCATTGGGTTTCCAAGGCTGTGAACCTTTATGGAAGCAGATTGCCTCATCTCTTTTCCACAGAGCAGCTGGTGGGTTTGAACCATTGAC